AATCTTGTTTTTATTCAAACGTTTTATTGGATTATACTAGATTTTCTGTGAATCCTTTTCGAAAAATTTATTTTGTCAAATGCCAGTAGCACTGAGACTGGTATTTGCTTTGTTTCCTGACTGCAACATTGCTGCTCCTATAAGCTTTTCTTTTGGTGAAGAGCCTTTAACTTATACTCATCATAATCCATGAAGAACCTACATCCGTCGTAATCCATCTCCCATTTCTGCTTGATAGCCTTATACCGACCACCCATCATACTATCCTTTTCTTCAAACTCCCCATGCCACTAAACCTCCCCGGTTCACTAAAGTTCTTTATATATATATACACATGGTACATTGCCCTGCACAACGGGTTGATTCATCGAACGTGGGTTAATGTGGGTCCAAACACAGTACTAAAACGTCCAGTAGTTGATCATGATTGATCGCATTGAAATTGCCTTGGTTTGTGGGGGGGTAAACCCCTAATTCTGGACACGCCCACGTCATGATCATCATGTAGGCTACATCTCATCAATGATACCCGCATAATTTTTCGTTTGTGATGTTTTTGTTTCCCCAAGATTTTTTTTTGGTATATTGATGCTGTTGATTTGTTCACAATGCATATTTGAAACCCAGTACCAAACTTGTTTCCGAGGTTTTGACCTTAAAATGAGGCTTAACCATCCAAAACTGGAACACACAGAGATATCAGAATATATAAAAATAATGATAAACATAATATTGATAGTAATAACTGTATTAATAATGATAGTAGTATTAATGAAATTATAACAATAAAACTTTAACAATAATAATAATAATATATGTGTATGTTTGTTTTTGTTATATATTACATGTTTGATTTTTGGATGTTATTTATTATGTATTACTTTTTCATATTATATGTATATATATTTAGTATTCTCACATACACAATGTGGAGCCCGATAGTTCGCAATTTTGGTTTGACACGATTTATGATGTTTTATGGTATTTATAACTAGTTGGTTAGATTGGATTACAAACCCCAACCCCAATTATGTTCGCTACGCCCCACAGGTACTACTCCATTATATACACTTTCAACGTGTTTATTTAGGGTTCATGCGGGGATTCTTTAAGGTTCATTTACGGTCCAGTTTTTTTTTTAAGGGTTGTTTTTTAATTTTTAAGGGTGTGTTTTAGGGATTCTTTACGGCTTATGTAGGTCGTGTGCAAGAAGTGGCAAACACCAGTTTTGGAGGATAGCAGATTCACCGCAGAGGGTTCACAACTATGTCTCTCGGTCAGGTGGCCTAGAGCCATCTTGTTAATAGACCTTCAACTACAACGAAACCACAAAGCACTGTAAGCGTCACCAAACATGTGGGTTCTGCCAATCATCCCGAATAAACCTTGGGGCATAGCACAAAGTGTTGGCCGTACACTATATATATATTATATATATATATCAGACTTATAAATAAATAACTCAATAAATAAATCAATGCCTAAATCATTAAAGATTAAAAAAAACTATTACCCAACAAATAAGTTTACAACATATCATACACCGTCCCACTATGGTTGTGCCTTCTCACGGTCCAGGGAGATCGTGGAGAGCGTCCCGCATGGGACGATCGTTTCTATGTGGTTCAGGTGGGGAAATGGCGGTTGAAACCAAGAGAAATGGTCCAAACATCTGGGGAAATTTGATCACGACTTGATCACTGTTCTCATGGAAGCCTGGAATCATGGTGAATTAATAAGGGAAATCATCCCCAGCCATGGCCGAACTATTCAAGTTAGTGAAATATGATAATTTACCCAGAAACATGGTGGATTTAAGCATGAATTGATACCCCAAAAAGTTGTTTTTTGGGCAAAAGCTGGGAGATGAAAGGGATGAACGATCGATGAACTATACATTGTATATCCGATTGAATTCCTGGTTGGTGGTTTGGAACATTTGTTTTTTTCTATATATTGGGAATAATTATCCCAACTGACGAACTCATATTTTTCAGAGGGGTTGAAACCACCAACCAGATGAGTAATAGGGGATTCACCAATGAAGTATGGAAAAGTGAGGGTTTAACCTGCAACCATGAAGAAATGTTAGGTATATTACATGTAGATAAATGTATATAGGGGGATAATACCTCCTTCTAAATGAATTTGTTATCATGTGTTTGAATGGCCCGGAACCACCTTGAATTGGAACTCCCATTCTGTACCCAAAAAAATCACCTATGAATGTAAAGAATGTACATTGAAAATCTATGGATTGCCCATTGTTAGATCTGCTTATTTGTTTCCATATTGTTGGTATTTGTTTTTAACAAACATGTGTTCTATTGTTTTAATTATTGGTTATTGTTCATATGTTAGTTCAGGGATTAATCAGTATTTCTACTGTATATCAAGAAAAGTCATTGGTCAATTCAGCATATTCAACCATTTAAAATCACTTTTTACCACATTTTCGAACAAAGTTGCCTGGTTCCCATCCCTTTCCCACGGTTCATCGCATTTTTTCGAAGCTCCAGGCCCCCAAGCCGTGCAGAAGATCCGGTTTGGAGGCGGTGGCTGTGGTGTTGGTGGGGCCTCAATGTTTGACTTCCACTTTTGAAATTTGCAATTTACAACTACATTATTTTTTGCCTTGTCTTCAAGAAAGAAATGGCCCATCTTGCTGTAGCCTAAGTAGCGCCATGCGCAGTTTGCTCAAGAGTGCAAGCCAAGTGGCCAAGTGGTGAAGTGGCTTTAGTTCCTCATTGAGTAGGGTTGCCCACCCATAGATGGCATGCAACCATAGTCACCGGCCGACAAGCTGGCTTTGTTGACGTGATGGCTCGGGCTCGGGTATACTTTGATGGTACCCACATGGTCATGGCTCGCTTTGAAATGGGGTATCAACTAGCTCACTGTTATTTTTCTTGCACTAAAGCCATTTTAAATGGTTGGAGGTCAACAATTTTAAGGCAAATCCTGGCACATCACATACAGCGACATGTTTTTTTCCGGGTACCTTTTTTTCCGGGTGGGCTGGACAGGAGGAGCACCTTGCAAAGGACGAGGTCCGGCTGGGAGAGATTTGGCAGAGGGTTTACAGGGCCAAATTATGGCCCCAAGGGGATTCTAATTACTGCAACTACCTGAGGTTATAAGCCAGCCAGTTATAAATGTTTAGGGCTATAACTGCTATAACTGTAGAGATTCTTGTTGTTTTCCAGCATGAACTCCGTAAAGTGTCACCGTTTCTTGGATAATTTTGCAAAAAAACACTCCCAGCCACATCTTGATTTGTTTTCTGCGTGCTTTTCAACATACGCATCACGCAGCCAGATACAGAATATATTTCTCAACAGTGCCTGAACCATGTTGCAAGGTGGTCACATTCATCTCTGGAATCGCTGATTGTTTTTGGTTTTTCTGTTTCATCTTCTTAATCCCAAAGTGGTAGACCAACTTTTTTGAGTATTTTGTTTAATACTCTTAATGGTGTTTAAAACAAACTAAGGATGGCGTGGTTTGTGATTGGGTTTACCACATAAAAATGTAGCTGGGATGACAATACCCAAAGTATACTTATTTCCCAAATTATCCTGGGATACTAAAAAAAGAACTCATGACTGGGTTGACCAATTCCATACGAGGCTTTTCATGTCTCTCTGGGACCGTGGACAGCACTGCAAAAAGGTGCCAGAGAAGAAAGGCAAAAAAAGGCCCGGGGTCCAAAAAAAAGTGGCGCCCCGGACCTACGAAAGGTAAGGCGAGCATTTTGGTTGGATGGTTTTATGAGAACCCAAGGGATCCTTGGTGAATTCGATGTGAAATACATCCGGGAGGATTTTTTTGGTTCGGTTCATCCCCGGTAGAGTTGCGGCACCCGCCGAAAGGCAACGGGGTTCGAGGGCAGAAATCATCTTCCATCATAACTTGATTCAATGGATATCATACCACTTCACATCACAGTTTTCCATTGCTATATTGAATTACCAGTAGGAAACCTGTGGTGAACAATCTCAGCAAAATAATATATTCCAAAGAACAAAACATAACACATCATAGAAACATATATATTATGATATGTTTTAATGGTAATACATATATATATATATATAAATGTATATCATCATTATTATATTATTATTTTTGTCATCATCGTTATTATTAATTATTATTATATATATATATATATGAATGGGCCATGCAAAGTGGGACCTTTGCCATCTTAAACCAGGACTTTAAGTGTTTCGGCTCAAGAAGAGGACACCCACCGGTAAACATCAACAAATTTATATAATCCCATTGGTTGACATTGCCCACCAGAAGAGAGGATCAAACATGATATTACATCAGGTTGACAACACCATGGGGAAATAACACCCATCAGAAAGTAAATCTGGCAGCCAACCGACCTCACCAGCCATGTCCATGCTTGTGGATAGCAGCACCAGTTCTGAATCTTCGTATGGTGATTCTGAAGGTTGCTTGGCAGAAGTTTTCATAGTTTAATGGTGGATGCTGTATGTTGAGCAAATAATTCCACGCTGGCCTATCCCCAAGGATCGGAATCTGAAGATAACTCTCACAGTGACATGGTGACCGTTTCAGACTCCGAGAATGGGACACCTCGTGAGTCTGAAGATTCGTCTAGTGATTCTGGAAGCTGGTCACAGATGATCCAACCATTGACTCGAGCCCGCAAAGGTATGACACTTAGAACTTGCATAGTGGATCTTCTGAAGTTTTCTTCTTATTCAGACCTCATAGTTTGGGGTTCCTTGTTTTTTCTTATCCAACCCTGTCAGCATAGCTTTTTTTGCTTTCACTCGCTGTCAGCTGCTTAGGAAAGTGAACCGCCGTCCAGATAACCCCAAGCTGACAGAAACTCAAACGAGTTATCTTCACGGTGGTTGGGGTCGCGAGATGGCTAGAAGAGCAGGCCATTTGTGGAATAAAAATGTTATGAAATTGAAAAGTGAATTGATCATTCTCACATCACGGGTGCAATCCCTGTAGGCATGACAGACTTCTTTGACAAACTCCAAGTTGGACCACAGCTGGTTTCAGATTGCTCCGGCTGTGAGGGATTTTGGTACGCTCTCAAGGAGCTCTTTCCACACAATAGTCGTCTGATCAGTTCGCAAATTGGCATTGGCAACACAATGCATTTTTCTTTTTGGGAATGCCTGATTTTTTCATGTTGTGTTACAATTTTCTGATTTTAACATCATAATCAGTTTTATTTTAAGCCGATCTATCCCAGGTGCGATTGTGCTGTTGCTCCCCTCAAGTTCAATCTTTCGAACCTGGAACCACTGAAGAACCATGGTTTAATATTCATCAACTTTTTATGCATGTTTCTAAGTTTTTCTATGGATCTTTTTTATGATATTTCACTAGTCATTACGATTCCGGGGGTGCTATACAAACTTAGGCTGTTTCAGAATGTAGCGGGCAGAGATTTGTTCGACGTGGCACAGCTGTCGAACACATATGCAGCTGGGTTTCCCTGTCAGCCGCAACTTGGCCTAAAGTGCAAGGCATGCGTTCATCCCTTCTATTTTTGTGTATGTTATTCAATGATGGGGAAACATGAGGTATATCATCATTGTATGTTTATGTACACCATTTCATAATATTTTTTGATTAATAACATAATAGTTTTTGAGCAGAAAACTTGCTTTCATCTAAGGTTTAGTGTACTGCACAACGATAGTGAGCTCCTTGGTGATCCCAGAGCAAAAGTCCTCTTCTGGGTCTTGGCTGCTATAGCAACAACTGGTCCAGCTCTAGCGCTGCTAGAGAACGTGGTGGGAATCTTGCGCGTATGGAAGAAGGTGGCTTGCCTTCACTATTGGAGAGTTTCTGGTTTCCACAACATTTTTTGTTATATGTTCTAAACTAACTGTTATACCAAAAGAACCCATGTATCACTGTCACACAATGCTTTAATTTTGCAAAACAGGTGTGGAAAGCACTTAAGAAATTGGAAAAATACGAGTACCTGGTGGCCAAAATATTGATAGATCCCTTGCTGCTGGGAGATGCAAGCAAGAGACGTCGGGTGTACATCATCATCGTGCATCGGTCAGTGCTCCGTCCTGAGATTGCCACCCATGCAAAGCTGGAAAAAGTTTTGAATGAGACCCTGGGACGCATGGAGCTTCCTGGGCAAGCTCCTCCAGATCCGTCCCTTGAAATGGCTGGGTATGTTTTTCATTTTTTGAAGCCTCCAAGTTCTAATCCTCAAAGATCCAATTTTCATTTCCAGTGTGAATTTATTTCATGATTGAGGTCTCATCTCATGTTTCCTGATGACCATCCAGAAGTCCAGCGCAATGCCCAAGAAAGGATGAAGCGGGCCAAGGCTTCAGGAAAGGAGATTTGGGATTTGGTTTCAAAGTGACTTGGCATTGTCAAATAAACATGACTTTTCAATTTTATCATAGTATCTATTTCGCATGTCCAAGCAACCCATTGTCTTTTCAACATGATCATGAAGTTTACACCATTTTAAACCCACTGTTTGAGCAAAGCATCAGGCCATCATCGAAATCGCGACCTCGCTGGCCGCATCAGCATTGGAAACTCATGAAAAAGTTGAAGATGGATCCCCGAAAAGTTGCTGCACTGGTTGATGTTGGTTTCTTTGACAATGTGAAATGCTTACGCCAGCGACATGCAACCTGGCTAATTATTGTTCAACATTGTTCGCTGACCCTGGTGTCATGTATGTGCCTTACTGCCAAGTCACCAGCTAAGGCTCTAAGCATATTCCACATTCGAGGAAGGAAGCGTGGATTCACAAACCTTAGCCAAAGTGTTGACAGAATGGGCTACACCCAGCATGTGCCGTGCATCACGCCCAGTGGTTGCTGGTCTATCCTGTTCAAGTTTTAGATGTTTTATTCCAATGAAATTGAGGGGCATAACATAACCATGACATCATCATATCATACTGTTTGCCTGATTGTTTCAGCCCAGGTGAGTTCTATCACATGGGAAGGCGCCGATATCTGACAGGCAGGACATGTCTAAACCTCCCCTGGGTTCAAAACGTGTTGTAGCATTTTAAAGATCATCTGTGTTTGATTGTTGAAGGGTTGTTGGGGCAGCTTTTGCCCACTAGATGCTGTTCCCTGATGTTCCCTGCAGCTGTGGAGAAACTGCTCTTTCAGACCTTCCCACTTGGAACCCTGAATCTCAGCAAACTCACAGACCGCGATCCTTAGCCTTACAGTTACATTTTTAAAACCCTTCTAGCTGTTTCCCAGAAAAAAAATCTGAATCTCGTCCACAATATTTTCAAAAAATATACCACCATTGTAAGGGAGTGATCAAGGCAACCAGCCACAACCCCGAGGAAATTGAGTCCCTTGCTGGAAATGCTGTCAACTGCCGAGCAGCTGCAGCTGCCTGGATTTGCGCATTCTCTTCCATCTCTGCACCTTTGTGGGACAGACATGCCCTCACTGCTGGTGACCGCTGAGAGATGCTGCGGGTTGGAAAGTTGCGGTCTTTTGCTGACCCTAAGCAGCTAAGTCAGTTTGGGATCTTTTGATTTAGTGTTCATGTCCCTTGCAGCAAATTTGCTCAATATTATTAATGGGTTACCATGAGTTTCCACCAAACACAATGTAAACTATCAATGAGTTCTTAACTAGCTGTAATGAACTTCAATCAAGAAGACTTCAACATGCCGAGTTCTCACATGTTCCCAATGACTTCTCACTGGGGTTAGAATGACAGGTAATGAACAAAGTACACATCAAAACCAGTGGTGGAAAAAAATTGCATGCTTACCCATGGACAGCAACCCTGATAATATCTGCAGCCTGGCAGCCATGAAGCGTGTGATCTTGGCATCTTCATCAGCTTCTTCAGATGCTGGCAGCGAGGATAGCAGTGAAGAATCTAGCAGCAGCACCTGCAGCGAGGAACCAGCTCCAATGATGCCATCTGTCCGGAACCTTTCATGGAATCAACTTCAATCTTTGGAGGTTGACCGAGGCTTGGTTGCCAATTTATCACCTTTTTCAAATCTTACAGTAACATTTTAAAGTTGGGGAGGATGGAGCCTCACTGGTTTAACTCCCCTTACCAAGCCTGACCCTAGGTAAGGATGATAGAGATGAAACAATCTACCAGCAACGTGGTAAAGACCCTGAGAGAATATCGATGGCGCTCAAGAAGCCATGTTGCAAAGGACACTGCAAAAGAAATGTGACTTTGAAAATGGTCACTGCCATGTGCGTGGCCTTCTGGTCTTTATCCAAAGCAGGCCAGGATGGCATGTTGCTCATCTGTAGTTTATGGGATAATATTTTTTGGGGGGGGTTGAATCAGCATATCCTGGCCATACTGACCCTTACTTACCCATCCCTAGGTTGTGGAGCATGCAAAACGCCAATGGTTCCATAGCAGAAGAGGACGAGGATGACAGTGATGGCAGCAACACAGATTCCGGTGATGATGCTAGCGAGTCTGCATCAACATCATCTGATGTTCCAATACGTGGAAAGGCAAAGTGGTTCATGCAAGGCTACTTTGTCTTTGATCATTTCATTGGTTTTCACCATTTTCATTTACTTTGTAATTCGACATAAACCCTTAAATGTTTTTTGGTTTGACCTCAGGTGTGCATGTTTGCAGAGATGCATTCCTACAGCTGATGGGGATTGGCCGCTCGCGCTTAATACGCACCAAACAAGCTTTTCGAGGCCAAGATCTTCGACCTGTTGGATTCCTGATTTAAATTTTAATTTTGATTTTGAACCTCAAGGTTTCGACCTCATTCTTAGACCTTGAGTTGGATACAGGTTCATCCCAACTCAGGACGTGCTTGCCATGCAGCTCCAGCTGCAGCGTCAGTTCTTGCTTTTCTGGAAAAAACATATTGGGGAATCGCTGAAACCCTACCTCATGAGCATCTTGGTCTGAAAATAACAAGTGTGGTGAAGAGTGAAGACTTTGGGGTCCTGATCAGTAGCCTATTTCTATGGGCTAGGGACTAGCCATGATTAGCCTATTGCTTTTTTGTGGGGGTTACCTTTTAAACATCAAGGATGCACTTCAATGCAAAAGAACAATTGGCGTCAACACATGAAGGCCGTCGCAAGTTGGTCGAGGCTCTCATGAGCAATTCTTTGGGAGCCAGCATGGGGGTTGGGAGAGTTGATCCTGCTGAACTTCCTAGAAGGTACCTTGCACCAGGGATACTTGATAGCTTTTAGATACACCTTTGATTTTTTGTCTGCTTGCCCTAACCAATTTCTGTAATTATCACCTGCCAATCCTGGTGATGGTGAGGACTTACTCGGACCTTTATAGGCTGTATCAAGCTGAAGCCTTCGCTCACGGACGGCCAGCAGCAAGTGCCTCAACCTTTTTCCGTAAACTGAGGAGCTCTCAATGGCGTCAGAAAATAAAATTTAGACATGCTTCCAACCATGCTCAATGTGCAACTTGTCACCGATTGAAATCTGGTATCAAGCATGCCAAGACATTACAGAGGCACGCGAAGTACGCAGATCAGTATATGAGGCACTTATCTGGTGTCGTCGCCGACAGGCAGGTCTACAACCAGTACAAGTGGAGAGCCATCCATCAGCGTGACATACTATGCCTCATCGTGGATAGCATGGACCATAGCAAATTCAGACTACCAAGATTTCCTCAAGGGCGTTGCCCTAAGTCACTTGAGACAAGGAAACGTCCGGAACTGGGATTGACTTGCTGTATATGCCACGGGCATGGGGTGTACGTTTACATCACTGATGAGGATGCCTCAACTGGAAGTGACTGGTCTATTGAAGTCTTGTCCATATCCCTCAACCAGGTTTTCGCACAGGCCCAACGGAATAACCAGCCATGGCCTTCTCACCTTCGACTTTGGACAGACAATACCCCCAAGGATTGTCGTGGTGTCTATCAGCCATTGTTTTCAAATATTTTTTTCAAGTATTGGTGATCACCCAAAGTAATAAAGTAAACCCACTGCCCTGCAAAGCACCTGACCATCATCATGGTGCTGACTGCCCTGCAGGAGTACCGCAACTCCATCCTAGGCCGCTTTTGCTGCCATTTGACAACCACCCGGGCATTTGCAAGTGTGGCCCACGACCATATGGTCGTGGGCCACACACATGAAGACATAGGCACCTTGATCCATAGTAATCAATATTTTTTAATTTGTTATTTTGTGGAACCCTCAAAAGTTGCTTGGGTTTGATGCCTGGTACTATGAATCAGCCTAGATGCCTTCTTTGGCATGATTGCAAAGCTCATTCGTCAAGGGGATGAAAATATGCAGCTTGATGGCAAGGGTTTAAAATGTCTGATGTCCAGGATGTTTTCAAAATTTCATGTGTTGAAAGTCCTGATTGTTTTCAAAATTCCGTGTGTTGAGCTAGGCAAACTCCAGAAGATATGGTGGCGTCTTAACCTTAGTTGGCTGCCATTTCATGTTCAATGTCTAAAAAATGATGACTTTTGAAACCTTACCCAACCGTTGACGTTGGTCTGTTACACCTCGGTTGAGGTGGCTGAATGATCGATTGCAGGCAAGCTTCAGAAAGTCTGGCCTCACCTTCCAAGCTCAATACTTGCAGTCAGTGAGGAACTGGTCACAAACTATGGAAAAATATTCAACTTTGGGTGGTGGCTACCGCAAACGAAAGTTGATGGACAAGGTTGATATTCCACATTCTTTTACATTTGCTCGCCGTGATTGACTCCAGACTAAATTAAACCACAGAACTTTTCAATTTTGGAGGGGACAGAGTAAATGTGTTTGGGGAAGTCTTGGCTTTTAAAGCATGACCTTGACCTTGAGCAAAACCTTGCGCCTAGGTATGCCTCAGCACCTTTTGGAAGAAGCTGGAAACCGTATCCCTCCACGGTTTGGGGCCTCATCACCCAACGATGTCTTTCTCATGGTGAAAGGCTTCGTGAGCGACAGCAGTCTTTGCCAGAGCGTTCTGGCCGTCTGGCCTGGAAGGTGTGCTGACCAGTCGATGGATGCACTGCGCAAGATTGCCAGGAATGACTGCCCCAGTGCCTTTGTCTAGTGATCTGTGTGACTTAGAATAATTTCCCAAAATTCCGTTGTCATTGGAACCCCAAGATTATATAATAGGTACAGGATAGCCCCTCCATAAAATAGTGAAAAAATCGAATATTTATAATTTAAAAAATAATTATTAGATAAAATAATAATTATAAACACTAAAATTCAGGTAGGTTTGTTATACATCTACTAGTTGTTTCTGCATCTTCCAGCATATATCCAAGTCCATTTGCTTGTCTCCAGCCTTCTCTCAAGGACTAGCGACATGGGTGGACGATGACAGAAAAGAAGTTCTGATAGAAATCATTGAATTTCTGAGGGAGAACTATGTGCAATATGGCCGTGCCATTGGCTACTTAGAACAGTTGGCAGGGGTCAGGGCAATGCCCCGACGAGCCCCTGAGCAGCTGCACTTTTTGCTGGCCCCTCAAGCAGGGATCCAGCGGGGAGCCATTGTGTTGGGAAATTTGGAACCCCACACTTTGCATTCTATGCGGGTTACTTTCCACCGGTTTCATTGATCGAGTGGCATCAGGGAAAATTGATAGTAATTTATCAGGTGCTGCCATGACGGTGGGAAACACATGGAAACACAACAAAGTAAGAAACAAAGTATCATCAGCATAAATCAGGTCTCAAAATTCACAAAAACAATGAATCCTAATTCAATAAATTTAGGTTGGGATGTGTATACTGTGTGGATGTAATTGCCCCATATCATATATCTTTTTTGTGGGCATGATATTACTTTCGCCCATGGCAACATTGGCCCAACAGCACATCCAAGTTGAGTTCAAGGCTCGTCACTGGGCCACAGCAATGGACGAACCAAAAATGGCAGAGCCAGTGAATCCAGTGAAAGAATCTCAGCAGCATCCTGCCACAAAGTCATATTGGTCCAGGGCATGTGGTGATGGATCTAAGTTGGGACAAGCTAAGGAAGAGACGGAGGAGTTTAGATCCATCAAGCTGCTACTTGCAGCTGCCAAAGATGAGGCAGGTATCCAAAACTATTTGTTGAAACAGAATAAACAGTTGCCCTGGTAGGTCATCTCACTGGGGAACATGGGCCAATGGCTTTTCGACATGTATGGCGCAAGTGATGAGCGCAAAAACAAGTTCGAAGACGTTGCTTGGATACCATGCTCAGTATTTTATTCTGAGTTCTTAAGTGACTTGATTCCAAGTTTTTCATTGACCCTTCAGATCTTAACTAAGGGTATGCGTGTCCTGTTCGATATGCCCTGTGTGAAAAAGCACATCGGCCATGAAGTGACTGTGCAGTCGATCCCTTCCCAGTCTCTCAAGAACTTCTTCTTAGATCCCTGGTCTTTTGACTTCAGTGAAAGCTCAAAGTATGGAGCTGTTGGTCGCTTCCCATCCAACCACCAGTACTGCATGCATTTTCAGTCCTTCGTGGAGAATGGGCTGGAAGCGCACCGCGAAGCCATTGACGTCAAGTTCAAGACCTCCGAGAACGACCGTGGCATTTTCCAGGTTCATCCCTGGTCTGTGGGATTTGTGGATGGGCAAACGAAAGCTCTGCTAGTCCAAAGCATTTTGGGACTGCTGATTCACAATGCCTCTTGTTGTAAGTTCACCCAGTATTTTTTTCAACTGGTCAGCACCCTTTCCCCTATAGTTGATTTGGGTTTGAAGTGATTCCAATTGAATTTCATTCCCATGAAACCTAAGGACGTCCCAGAACAGGCCTATGAAAAGGAAGATGATATCTGCAAAATGATTGCTTCGTTTCGCTATGTGCGATGCAACTTCAAGAAGTTTGACAATCCAGAGTTCTTCCTCTTCGAGTCCATCAGTACCTTACCTGCACATGGAACCTGTTGCCTTGGTGTTTGCTACAGCCTTCAGCCTCACAGCTCTTGTTAAACTGTTGAATGCCAGGTCTTGCCAACCGGACAGCAGAGAAAACAAAACCATCAGCTTTGGACCTCATGCTTCTCTTCAAGGAGAGTGTGCGACTTCGACAAGCATCTGGCCGGGGGAAGTCTATGGCTTTACGTGAGGTGCTCTTTTCATGCATAGCGGACTACAACAAGTCTGTGGCTGGGCACCGTGTCTCTTGACTGAATTCAATGTACAGAGAATCGTTTTATGGTAGTGATCTTTTGGTTTTGGATCCATTTCATAATTCATAATTCTTTAAGGCATGGAAAGTCACTGATGGGATCAAGCGGATGATCTGCAACCTCATGCGATGCCCCCCGGATTTGTGGGAGATGCTGAAAAACATCTACAATGAGAACAAACCAGAACTGGCAGGCATGCACAATTTCAGTAGTGTTTAGTTGAAGTTTCTGAATCAAAACATGTTCTGTTAATGATCTATATTTCAACCGGAAGTTCAACCTTATGCCTCCCCCTGGCAGCCCTCAACATGGAGAATCTGGAAGGGGACTACTATGTTCCAGGGACTGAGCTGGAAACAGATCCTGCGTGGAAGGAGATGCAGGCATGGTGCAGTTTATTTGAAAATTGTTGATGCCCCAAAAAAAGTTGCAAGACCATTAGGATGTTAAGTTTCAAATCTTACTACGTCAAACATGTCAATGTCACCCTGGCCCCAGACTGTGACACCTGAAGCTGTCCTACTCTGGGCCCAGCGTGCCATCCAAGACTACAACAAGAAAGTTACGAAAGGTGCCACTTCCAAGCAGAAGGCTGGGAATCCTTTGCCAAAAAAATGATTCTATATTGAAACCGGTTAATGCCAGTTTAGTTTAATCCCAAACCTTGGACAGAAACTGGCGATCCGAGATCAGCCAGCCATGTTGGAGCTACTTCAAGTGGCATGCCTCATGGCCTACCTGTGGCCAAAGCTAGAGGCGCACCTCGGCAAAGGAAAAGCTCTGGATGATGTCCAGCGAATGTGGCAACTTGGGAACCTTGGCTGCATTTGGCTGCATTTTCTGTTAAAACCGGTGCATTTTGGGAAGCTCTCGCCAAACATGACATTGTGCAGTGGAATTTAGATTCCGCTGCAAAGAATCCATGAATCCGGGGGTTAGGGAAATTTTTGGTATATTAGCCCACAACCTACCAAAATGACCACCAACTGCCAAACCCAGGGATTCATGCAGTGGAATCTGTATTCCGCTGCACAAGTGGGGATTGGACAGTTGGGCTAGTTTTTACGTGCTTTTGCTTGGGATTTGCTGTTTCTGGGCTTCCTTTTCCACATTTTAGCCCAAGAGCACATCACTATTGGGGGATGAAAAAGCCATCAAAAGCAGCAGGGGAAAACACATCACAACACTTTGCTGAATTTTTGTGAAAAAACCACATCACTCCGCCATCTTGTGCAAAACAAACCGCATGATGCCTTTGGAAAACAAAACCACATCACCCAGAAACAGAAAACGTTGGAAAATAAAACCGCATCACTCAGAAAACTTTGGAAAAAACACATCACTCAGAAAACTTTGGAAAAAAAACGCATCACTCAGAAAACTTTGGAAAACAAAACCGCATCACTCAGAAAACTTTGGAAAAAAAACCACATCACTCAGAAAACTTTGGAAAACAAAACCGCATCACTCAGAAAACTTTGGAAAAAAACGCATCACTCAGAAAACTTTGGAAAACAAAACCGCATCACTCAGAAAACTTTGGAAAACAAAACCGCATCACTCAGAAAACTTTGGAAAAAAACCGCATCACTCAGAGTAAGCTGGAAAACAAAACCACATCACCCAGCTGTTATTGTTTAGATAGTCCTTGGCCCATCCCAGGGTTATCTTTCAGGTGATTTTAGATTCTATGTCAAACAATAGGGATGCAACTTAGATCTAATCCATGAATTTATGAAACACCCTGGCCTCCCATAGTGCCAAGCTCTCTTAGTGCCAAGTTCTCATTCTGCTCAGGGCCTTGGACACGCAGCTCAGGGTGCAAGTGATACTTGGTGGGTATTCGGTGTTTGCCATTTCATCTCAAATTGCCAGTTCATTTTATCTCGAATTGCCAGTTTCATATCTATTTGAAAGCATTCAGATCCTAGGAAAGGCAAAGACCCCAACTTTGACTTCAAGCGAATGGCATTTGTTCAAGAAGCAGCTGGCAAGCAAACAGAGGAGTTGGTGCAATCAGCTCAATCCAATGTGAAGAACGCCCGTCGGGGTGCATTGCAGGCAGCCTACAACCTGTTTGCCACCAGTCTTGCCAATGATCAATGCCTTCATGACAAGTTCTTAGCTGCGAGCGATGTGAACAGTGCTCGGGCTCGATCGACGCTGATTGCCAGCCTGCAGGCCAAGTGTTGGGCTTACCCTGCAACAACTCAACCAAAAGATGTTTGCCAGTTAAAGGTTCTCCTTGGGTTTCTCTTCAGGGTATTAACTATCAGCCATTGGGGTCACAACCAAACATTTTTAAATATTTTGAATGGGGTCAACATCAACCATTTATAAATATTTTTGAATGGGGTCACCATCAACCATTTTTCAAACCCTGGTCACAAATTACCCTGCACCCCTTCCAGAAAATGCATGACACGGCTTGGAAGCTGGTGGCAGAGTATGTCGAAGACACTGTGCCTGTTTGGGACATTTCGGTGTCAAAGTCCCAGCAAGGCATGGATTTACAAAAAGCTGTTCCACCCCAAAAAAACAGTATAATGATCTTCAAACTGAATCATTTTTGGTCTCATTACTCTTGGGGGCATCATTCACCGTGTTTTGAATGAAATACCAATCATATTGATGGGGCATTCCTGCTTTCAAAGGTTTTCTGAAGCAATCAATCAGCCACCTCAGCGTTTCCACTCTGCTCAGCTCAACATTAAGTTTATTATATTTTAAGTTATTATTATTGGATTTAATAACTACTAATAACAATAACCATTTTTTATTATCCATCATATATAGCTTTAATGAATTATATGATTTGGCCACCTGGTCCATTACTGTAGCAACCCTCTATCCAAGCTTGTTAATAGATAGCCAGGTCTGGAGCAAGATGTTCCGTCAGCTTTTGCTGCCAAAGCAGAGCCTTGGCTTCAAAGCATCCTGGGTGGCTTTGGCAATGGACTTCGCCGTGCTGACAATGAGCGGGTTGTAGCTTGGTGCAACTACGTTCCTGCTGGAGTCGTCAGTGCTAAGCAGCATATCTTTACAGTGGAACAGATTACCCAGCTTTGCCATGCATTCCCCCGCACTGCCTGCGCTATCATCCTCATGCCCAATCGGGCTGGTGATTTGCGTGGTGGGTCCCCATCAAAGTTGCTTTGGATTGTATTCAGCGATTCTGAACTTTTCGAAACTTTGTGCTTTCACTGGCAGTTACTAACTGAGTTTGTTTGTTTGGATTGCATCATTTTTGAGAATTTGTGAAATTTTATTTTTTGATTTTGTAGCACCTGTTAGGAATCAGCAAGATGAGTAGGTTGAAGATGATGACATGTCTGTCAAGAAGCAGCAGTCAGGACCTGTTGGTTACGTGTGCTCTTTAGCCTGTAATTCTTGTTGAAGCTCTGAGAAAGACTTCAAGAGACATACACACACAATCACACACACACAACATGTCAATTAAGTACCCTTGGTTTGTTAATCCAGTTGCAGGAAGTGATGGCGAAGCTGATGATGATGATGAAGAAAAGAACGAAACCCAGGATGGCTCTCAGGAAGCTGTCTTGCGAGACTACCGCTACAATTTGCAGGTGACTTTGATGGCCTCCCAACGTGCTCTCAAGGCCAGTTTGTTTTTCCAGTGGTCAAGTTTTTATAGATGGGAAACCCCTGACAGGTGAAGCCGATCAGTGTTGTCTTCGACCCCAACACGACATATGGATCCCGAGAGGGGCACCACATGGCCCTGATGGTGACGTCCCGTGAAAAGGGCAACTTCTTTTGGCGCTCACAGCTCTGGAAAACTGGTGTTGTCCAGAATGTGTGCATGCTGCCAAGGTGTTTTGCTGGAAAGTCAAGTTTTACTTGCTCATTAGGTTTTGCTAGTCAGGTTTGGATTTTCACTGTCATTGTTTACTATGTTGTTTTTATATGTTTCTATATTTTTTTTTAATTTGCTTGCTTGCCTGTTTGCTGGTTGAATGAATGGTTGCATGATTGACCAATTGACAATCAATTATTGAATTTATTGATTGGTTGGTCAGTTGATTGGTTGGTTGATGGGCTGATGGGTTCTGATTTGACTCGTTGGTTGGCTAATTGGTTCATTGATTGGTTGAGATGATGGGCTGGTGGGTTCACAATGATGGATTGTTTTTCATTTGTTGATTGTTGTGTGTTTTTTTTTTGCGTTTTTGTTTGCAATGTGCTCTGAGTACTCTGAGTACTGCCAAAAGATTCACCCATCAATTTGCCCCCAGGAGCGACATGAGAAAGGCTGAGAAAGTTACCAAATTTGGCACTGAAGCACGCCTGACTCGAGTGCAAGAGCTGAAGCAGGCTCTACTGACTGCTGAAGTTATTATTGTTTAACTGTCATTGTTTCATTGTTAAGTTGAAAGGATGTTTTTTTTGATGTGAGGGTTCAAAAATGGAATGCCAAACCCTGCCAGCACCTTGGCGGCACCAGCACTGTGGAGAGGATCATGGAGTCAGTGCTCAATGGTTCCAGTGGCAGCGGTGATCCCTATGTTGCGATGGTGGATTTGCTGGGCTATGACGCATGGCCGTCAACCTATGCTCTTCATCAAGGAGCTGCAGGTGGGATGATTTTTAAACCAAAACCAAATTCTCATGATTTAAAGGTTTAATTCGATATCCCAAAACCAAATTCTCATTTTTTAGCCTCCCTATCAGGAAAGAAACTTGCATGTGGCACAGCATGCCACACGCAGCATGAAGCCACATATGTCGCCTCATGCATTGCCCAAAAGACCTACAGCATGGCTCGATCGTCTGCCCTGCAGCTGCCGGGCTTTCCAAAGTTCGACAGCGTTGTGCAGGAAATGAACAACACGAAAGAGATCACCCCACCAGACTACGAGGTTTGTGTGGCCTTGGCCAATGGGGGATTGGCTGTGAGAGAGAACTTGATTGAGTACTGGTCAAAGGATGAACACTTGTTCAATGCAGAGGCTGCGCACCTGCTGAAAGAACAACAAAAAGTACAACCCCAAGGGAATCAAACGAGGAGTTTCAGAACAGGGTGCTGCTGCTGGGACCACAGGGGAGCAGCCCTTGAAGAAGGTCAAAGTTGAGGCTTCTGTCAAGACTGTGGACCATGAATCCCAAATGGGAGACAAGTGCCTAAGATGTTTGTTCAATCTTTTTTTTGCTGATTCTTGATTTATGGGATTTGTTTGGACTTACACTTACACAAGACCTACAAAAACAAAAATATCCCCTGAACACCCAGGTTGGTTCTCACTTGCGGCACCTTCCGTTTGATCTATGATGGGGAGCAGGAAGCTTTGTTTGTTGCGCTGGAGGAGAAGACAGCGAAAAAACATGCATCCTATGAGGTGACACCTTGTGAGCTCTTCGGGTTTGGAAGCGGGGAATATGCAGAGGGGCCAGAGGCCAACGACATTATGGGAGACATTTCAGGACGGTGGGTGAACTTCCAACTTACCTCGGACTCCGACAACCTGATCGCAGAGCCTGACAAGCGACTGCCTGATCACATCAAGTCATCTGATATCTTTGGGAAAGTGTCTTGGTTTGGGATCAAAAAACAGAATCATTTTTTGGTGTAAGGCTAGTTATTTTTTGCATTTGATACTTGCTGGGATTGGGGTCCTTGGTTTGGTTGATCATATTAGGTCATTCCGTTCTCAGACCTCTTCAAAGTGTTGCAGAACCAGGGGGAAATCAACATCAAGATCTCGACGCACGTTTGCGACAAGCAGGAGGGTGGCAGCGTTTTGCTTCGCAGTGAGAAAGCTGTTTGCTTTGCCCTTGATCCAATCAAAGAAGGAAAGAAAAAGAAGGCTTGGGATTAAATAATGTTTCTACCAGACTATCCTTTTCTACTTTGAGTTTAGTTTCTTCCATACTAACTTTCCCATTTTCATAATTTGAAAAACCAAAAAAAACAATCAGAACTTTCCATGGCATGGCATTTGCAACTTCAAGCAAATTGAGATTCCCTGTGCAGGCTACTTCGAGCGCAACCACGTTTGGTGCCAAGATCAACATGAGCAAACTTCGCACCAACCAGAACATCAAGATCATCTGGAGGATGAGGCTGGGTGGCAAACTGTTTTGATCCTTGCATACCATCATATTAGCTCCAAGTTATCATAAGTTAAAATTCCATATGTTATAAGGTCCATATACATTATAAGTTTCATATATCAAAAATTCCATATACAAAGTTCCATATGTTATAAGCTCCATATGTTATAAGCTCCATATGTTATAAGCTCCATATATTATAAGCTCCATATATTATAAGCTCCATTATAAGCTCCATTTTAAGCTCCATTGTAAGCTCCATGTACTATAAGCTCCATTCTAGGCTCCATGAAGGCTCCTTTATAAGCTCCATTTTTTATAAGCTCCATTATAAGCTCCATATATTTAATATATTATATACTTACTACAAATGGCCAAACCAGTTGTATATTCCACACGCTAGGTAGCATGCCCCTGCCCAGGTTGCAGCCAGGCCTGGAGCTCGTTCCTATCAGGCCTGTAGCGATGCTGGCTGGCTCACTGGAGTGCAAAGCTGGTGAACTTTATCAGCTTTTCTGATTTCTCAAGCCCTCGAAAAGCTATAGCCGGTGGAATGAATGAAATTCCCAATTAAAAAAAACACAAAATAACGTTGTCATATGTTGTCTACAAATGTCTACAACACACCGCAGCTTCAATGAGGACAAGTTGGCCAATGGCCACAATCTTTCAAGGTTGGCACTGCCAGCAGTGCCATGGGTTAGGGTGGAATCTTGCTCAGTGGGTGATAACACCTAGCTGATCATGATCTTGATGATCATTCGAAAGTACATCGTGCCAACTGATCAAAACATGGTTTGGGGTTGGCTTGTCAACTGGAGAAACTGGATTCTTACCCCATGGGCCATTCATTGCCAAAAGAAATTATATTTATTCCTACCCAATGTGGAGCCACGACTCTTGGCACAAATTAAAGCTTATAGACTTACAGCGGGAAGATCACTGTTTTGACGTGAATCAGTACATGATTGGGTAAGTTATATCGTTATATCATGAAGCAACCATTTATGCCCAAGGTCTTTTAGGTTCCCGGTGGTTTGCCAGCAATGTCGTTGCCCGGGCATGTGATCCCGAAGTTTGACATATGTGACTTTATGGAAATCTGAGATGTATATTTTCCGTTTTGATGGCTAATAGGATCAGGACTATCCCCAAAACATTCGTCATGGCTTTCAAACTGAAGTTCACATTGCCCAAAACTTAGGTAACTATGAAGATGTGATGTCTGCCATCAGCCCTTCTCAGCCCGCACTGGCTGCAACCATGAAGCCAGCAGAAAAGACCAATGCTGCCAGCGCAAGTGCGGCAAGCAGTTCAGCTCCTGCAAGCCACTGGGAATGGATCCAGTGTACAACAATGTCTTTCCCAGGCAACAAGGTTTAGATATTATTTTGTATTCATTATATGTTGTCCCCTTCCCACATTTTGATCAATAACAGTCAGGTGATATCAGGGGATAACAAATTTCTTCCTATAACATAATAGTGCGCTATCCGGGGTCAGAGATGATTAGGACAGAGAAGCTCTTTGTTTGAGCGCTGTGAGCTTGGAAGCTCCTCTGACGACCATGACACTGAGAACAAGAACAATACCTCGTCATTGTCGAAAAAGAAGAAGCATGGCGATGAACATGGTGATGAACATGACGAAAATGGTGATGAAGAGCCTGGGATGAAAAAACCAGCTTCCAAGCAGAAGGAGAAAGAAAAAAAGAAAAGCAAGAAGAACAAATTTGATGAACACTACCAGGAGTTTGCAGAGGGCCTGAATGATGATGATGATGACGAAGGTGATGAAGAGCAGGATGCTGCACCAGCCAGGGGAAGGCCCCGCAAAAAGGAACAGAAAGAAAAGAAGGCACGCAAGACTAAGGAGACGCGTCGCAAGGACCATTTTTTTCATGTTCCTTCAGTATGAGTTTCCACCGGAACAATGTAAATTCCAATATCAATTTTTGTTTGTTTTGTGCAAAATGTTCACTTCCTTGTCGTTACCATTCACCTACAGGACCGTGGCAGCAAGATTTCCAAGGGTGGAAAGCACAAGTCTGCTGATGGCAACCATGATGAGAGCAACTCATCTAGTCTACAATTTACTGTGTTTTGCTTGCTTGTATTCTTTTGACTGTATTTCATGTATTTCTGTGAAATTGGTAAATTTGGCTTGTTGCTTTTCCTTCCAGGCAGTGATTCTACCATGGATGATGGCGGCAATGACGCTCCCATCAACGAGGATGGCTACGACGGCCATGACATCAGTGCTGCTGGCCATGGAGACCTTGATCTTTCTGAGAGTCGCATTGACAGCGTTGATACAAAGCCTCCTGTTGAGTATCCAATTGGAGAGTGTTTGGCCAAGTACTTGGGCAAGGCAGGGTTTCTTTTTAGCTTGAACTTGCTGATCTTGATGCTTTAGGGGTGGGGGAGGAGCTACCAAACAAAGTGACCATGTTATCAAAACAATTGGGTTATGAAATTGAAAACAACCATGTTATACAATTATAAAGCATAATGACCATGGTGATGATCATGATGATGATGATGATGATGATGCTGATGCTGATGATGATGATGATGATGAATGATGATGATGGTGATTATGTTGATGATGATAGTGGTGATGATGTTGGTGATGATAGTGGTGATGATAGTTGTGTGGGCATTGAACCCTGCCTGCAAGCAGGCATATGCTACCGCTGAAGATACCAAAGATGACAAGGCCATGAAGGACAAAGAAAAGACTGCAGTTGACCCAGTCATGGAGGCCGACAAAAAAAGGCAGCAAGAAGCTATCGAGTCAGACCCGGCGAGCAAGGACTGGTCTTAATTTTTCGTATACGTTTCTTTTTATCCAAGAAAAACATTTTTTTATTAAACTCTGGTTCTCTGTTGGCCCCCATCAGGCTCTGGAGCGGGTGTTGGATAGCTTTGTGATTGAAGAGACAGCTGAGTCTCAGGGTAGACCTGAAGTCCAAGATGCCATCAAGGTCCGCAAAGCCCTGGCTGAAGGTGCCTTTACATGGTCTGAAACGAACTTGACAGCTATGCGGCACAATGATGACGAACTCTATGCGAAAACTTTGCGTTTGGATGACTGCCACTCTGACAAGGACGGCCAATCTATTTTCAAGAAACATGTGTAAGTTTTAAATCTGGTTTTCAAACTACTTGGTGTTTCATCTAGCAGGAGTTGGACGAGGCTGCCTCTGGAGACAGTCATCGCGCGGTTCCAGGTGATAGTGTTCCTTGCTTTATGAATTCAAAATCGAATTGATGTTTTTTTGGTTGATGTTCTTAGTTGTGGCTTTAATCTTTCAGTTGTGCAATTTAAAAAGTATCAATTATTCTCCAAACTTCTGCTCTGATACCCAGGTGCGTGAAAGCCTTCAGATCTGTGCAACTCCGCAGAAATGTGCTTCTATGGTCGATGTTGTCAGCTCAGGGTCTGATTGTGAGGAATTGCCAGCCATCAAGGACAAAGACAAAGACAAGGCAAAGGAAGAGCCAGCCACAAACGTCAAGGACAAGGCAAAGATGAAGGAAAATGAAGGTGAGATGGATAAATGCAGTGCAAAACCAGCTGCAGCCAAGAGCAAAGCAGAGGGTGCACTCAAGAAGGGCAAGAGTCCTGCAGCAGGCAAGGGAAGAGGCAAGGGAAGAGGCAAGGGAAAAGTCAGCAAAGAGTCTGAGATAGTCAAGAGTGTTGCGAATGCTGTTGCAAAGACAAGAAAGAAGAAAGAAGATGCTGGAAGCAAAGCAAGTAGCTTGGCCAGCCAAGCTGCCCAGAGTGTCGCAGCCAAGCGAAAGGCCAAGACACAAGATCCCGAGAAGGAGAAGGACATTGAAAAGGCTGACGCAGGCACGAAGGGTGAGAAAACACCCAAAGCAAAGGCAAAGTCTTCCCCGACGAAGGCAACCAAGGAGCGCACGGCAAAGACAGAGAGCAAAGCGAAGGAGAAGGCATGGGAGTGATGGTGGAAGAAAATCGATCAAAGATGAAAAAATAATAATAGTTATTATCATCTACTTCCTATTATCATCTACTTCCTATTATTGCTATGCAACATCATCATGCATCACATTGTCCTCTTACAAGCTGCTTTTGTTTTTGAATGAGTTTGGATTCCCCTGGAGGCGAGGAACCCCATGACCGCTGCCAAAAACCGTGTCTACAGTCGAATCTACAGGCAGGTGTTGAAAGCTACTGGGGATACAGAACAGGCCCGGAAAGAAGGCCGTGAGGCAGCCCGTGAAGTACAATAGATGTAGATTTTAATCTCATCAGGATCTACCGATGCTTTTGAGCCTGATCCCTGTTCACCACTCAGAAAGATACCTTTGGAAAATTTACCACCATTCAGAATTTAATTCATTGAACTGATTTGCAGTGGTTGGGATTCAGGGCATCCAACAACAAAATCCAAATCAGCGTCGAAAAAGGTCTCCTCGTTGCATGCTGCCAGCCATGCAGTGCCGTCCATGAGCGGAGCCAGTGGAACCCCTTATCCAGGGATATTGGAAATCAAAGCAGAAAGTAAATATCATCAATAATCAATGATCAATGTTGAAAATTGGATATCATTATCCCTTCCCCCAAACCATTCAACCACCTGATAGCTTTGGCATTTAAGCCACACTTTCATATGTTGACATGTTGCTTAATATCTCATTGTTTTTTGAGCCATAACCTGCAAACCTCAAAGTCTCACTTCTATTTGACAAAAGTCTTAGTTCCCATGACTGATTCATATATATATATATTATTATATAGTTATTATTATTATTATTATTATATTTTTATATATTATTATATTATTATATTATTATATTATATATATATTATTATATTATTATATATATATATATATATTATTATATTATTATATAAATATATATATATATTATAGTTATATATATATATTATGATATTATTATTTATATTAATACACATATATATATATATAATTCAGTATATAGGTAATATAGGTGGTTCTCCCTTGATCTCTCGGAAAATCCACGGAAATAGCAACCATGAAATCATTCATAAGTTTGTTTTCTTTCGTCCCACGTATTTGCCACTTAAATCTATATGTTTCTTGGTGAAATTCCCAATTTAGGGGTATATCCTCACTTGTCCCGAAGGATTTTGCCCTAGGCCCGTGCAGTTGCCACCGCGGCCGGATACGGAGACTTCCAAAGGTGAGGCGAAAGCGGCTCCCAAAAGGACCTGAGGGTTGACGATTCCAGCCATTAAAAAAGAACGGATTCCGGATATTAAAACAAAAGAAAAACACACATTAAATCCAGAATTGTAGTAAATACATAAAATAGGTAAGATAGGTAAGTAATTAGGTGTTGAATGGCTTCGATTCTGATACATCCCACCAAATCCAAAATTAACCTGTAGATTGTGGTATAGATTCTTGAAACATCTATGAGGGGTAGAATGTTTTTCGGCGTGAGAGAATTTCATTGATATGGCTCCAAAGGGGGGGCCCGCAGTTATGTTTGTTGGTTTATAAACCCCATGAATTACAGTATAATGAATTATAGTTATAAGTTATAAGTTATAAGTATCATATGCCATAGTTATTGGAGTTATGTTGACCCACTTAGCTTTTGTTTGTGGTCCCACTTTGCAGAACATTGGCAATCCTTGAGGCTGCGAAGGTTGAGTACACCAGTCTCCTAGTACTCCGCTCAATTCAGTTTCCGAGGAGCCCCAAGGCTAAGCCGAAACCACAAGAAAAGGCCTGGAAATTGAAAAATCATGGGGTGAAGGCATGTAAGTTACAAGTTCGGAAAAGTTTGAATAGAAGACACATGTGGAATTCAATGCCATTGTTTCTTGTAATTACCTAGACCCTCCAAGTACCCTCAATGTGGTGTTTGACCCAATAATTTAGTACTTTTGCATGTGCATGTTTCTTGGGTATATAGGGTCTACAGTAGGTGTACAGACATATATATATATATGTACATGATTCTATATGATTATATATGATTAAATATGCAATTGTTTTGAAACCATCCCAGTTGAGTTCAAATGGTCCGGTTCAAAGGCCAAAAATCTCAAAAAACAGTGCCACACATCCCGAAAAAAAAACAAACCAATTCCTGAACTATTTGGATATCCATTAGTACCCATCTCCCTTTAAATGATGAGGCAAGCATTAGTCAAGGTATCGTGGTTTTTCTGGCCATACACTTACCTTCTGGCAATCAAACACACGGCGAAGTTGAAATTCTATGAAATTCCCACATTTAGCTTGGCGATTCTACCATATTAAATTTCACATTTACACAACGGTGGCCCTCCCAGTTGTGTTTGTTGGTTTCCAATCGCATCTAACGAACTAGCTAGAACTACCATAAGCCTAATTCATCCAGTGAACTAGACCAACTTAGCTAACGATCTGAGCCGCAGATTGTTTGGCTGTCTATGGAAGTTCCCCCATTATTTTCCAATGTTCATATAAATGTTTATTAAACGACATATAGTACATAGTAATCCCGAAAAATATAGAGAAACCTAAAACCAGAATCTAAAATCGTGAAGAAGTACTTTTCTATTTGTTTGGGCCGTACTGAGAAACGAGATTTCCCACTTGGAAGTGTAGTTCCAGTTGTAAGCGGATATTTCTAAATCATAGGGGGCTCATATCAACTTATGGGGTTTAAAATCTGGTTCAACAGGATGGTGCCCAGTTATGTTTGTTGGTTTATAAACCATTAAAACCCCTATGAAAACTAAACAAATCTACCATAAACCATAGATTTTTTCGCCACTTTTCTAAGGCAACTGAACGCGCACTCGACTGGGGGCCCATCCTTTACCCAAGCCATGGCCTGGTGGCCGGCTAGGCCCGGGCGGAAGCGAAGGAAGCGAAGTCGGCACAGGTGCCGTTCACGCCGAAACGCCGAAACGCCATAGGCCCGATAGCCTCTGGTACCCTCTGGTAATTTAACATAGCTATTGAAAATGGCCATTTATAGTGAGTTTTCCCATTAAAAATGGTGATTTTCCATAGTTATGTTAGTTTACCAGAGGGTAATCATGGAAAAATATGAGATCAATGGAGGGTTGGAATATGGGTGTTTCCTGAGTCATAGGGGTACCCCTAGTTATCATCCATGTTAGAAACTGGGATTTTCCCGAAAAAAAGCATCCATTTTGGGCCAATTTATGGATCCCCCCATATGGTTTAATCATGTTTTAATAGGACATGTTGATGGAACATCTCTTTTTTGATGGTGGTGTTACCAGGAGAATACATGAAAATCCTCGAATGACATGGTTGTTTAAATGGGAAAATCATCTACATAACTATAAATGGGGGATTTGCCAGCCGTGGAACTGATTGCCGGAAGGTATGATAATTCTATACCATTGTGAATTTTAGGATGCTGAACCATGACTGATTAAGAATGATTAAGATCTGCATGCTTGTTGAATGAACACCAAATTTTGGTAGCTGAATACCACGTTTGATCCTTACTTTGAATTTCCATACTATTTCTAGGGTGGGGGAGGGCACCATTTTGGATGCCGGGAATCTAGGCCCTGACTGCAGCTCGATTCGCAGCGGACCGACACAAACGTCAGGTGCGGGGTGCGGATGGTTAGGGTGTGGGGGGAATCCTCCCTGAATGGCCGAGGGTTTTATAGAGTTGGTGAATCATTATAATCCATAAGAAATGATAGAAATCTCACTTAAGCAGCCAAAATCATTAAGGGACAATGATTGTTCAATGTCATTTACTTATTTACTTAACTATGTCATTCAGAATCCATAAATCATTATAATCCAAAATGCTAAGAAACTGTACTAAGAAAGTTTCAATTACTATAATCCTTAATCATTCTAATCATTATAATCCTTAATGATATGTTTCAATTACTGTACTAAGAAGCTTTCAATCTCTTTCCATGGGCACGGAGATTCCTGTCGGACCAAGCCATGGGCATAGCCGTGGTGAACTTCATGGGTAGTCAGCAGTGCTAAAACAATGTAAAACGCCAAAATTATGTGAAATTGATTCTATATCATGGATAATGATATATGTATATATTGTATATATATATATACACATATGATTTGGGATATGATTTTGGAAAGGCTTTGAAAGGCCACGGATCAAG